TGAGCACTGTTTTTCTCATCTGCAGTAACAGCAGTCCATCCATCAAGCCACATCTGATCACGCCAAACACCTATCATGGGAGTTCTTGAAGATGTACGGAGCAAGTGACATGATGGTGTAACTCACAGGTTATTCAATTTATAAGCATTATAAAATTACCTGCATTTATCATAGGTTTGATGGTAAAGATCCGCTTAGCCTTCATAACACCAATTACTTTATTTCTTGCTTAGGTTGAAGAGATTGAAATTATTATATCACAGAAATATGGAGTCAGTTTACTCTAGGTTGAAGAGATTGAAATTATTATGTCACAGAAATATGGAGTCAGTTTACTCTATACTTTGTGTTCCTCAATTGTTCATAGGTAGATTTTTAATGCAAACAAATATTCAAATGGAAAAGCTGCTTCTTTAAGGATACTTGCATAATGGGGAATGTTTGGTGCACAATGGAAGAGCTCTCCAATACCATGACCACAATCATCAGACTTCACCTATATCCACAAGACGAGGAAAGAAAGAGGTGCTAAGAACCTGCCATCTTCTTATTTGGTATAAAGAATAAGAGAAATAATCAATACCCAGGATTGCAGACTACCACAGAGAAATGCAAGCATGTCAACTAATAACTTCCCCAATTTCCCAAAAACATACCCCAGGTTTAACAGGAAAGGACAGTGCATGCATATCAGAATGAAAGAAGCACAAGGCCTTAGTTTTGGAACATTGCAACATACAAGGAGACTAGTCGAAAGTAAACTAATGAAACTACTCACAAAATCTAAGAAAATATGCAAATTTATATTAAAACGCCAAGCTTTGTTATTCAAGAATCAGGAACACGATGAGGATTCTTTCCTACAGGTTTGAGTTACATATTCTCAACTACAAAAATACACTAACATTGTTGAGGCTGATATAGGTCTCCAAGACCTCATAGCTAGTTAGGTTTTTTACAGAGTCATCAAGTTCACTTCGGCGATATAATATTTAAAATAAAAAATTACACTAATCAGATTTGAATACTCAAAAGGGAAACAAGAAAGGACTTCTAATAAAAAAATATAAATGACCACTTAGAAATAGGCCACATTTATGTCCATCAAATCAGTGTCCACAAGCACGTCAGTTTTCGTCTGAACCCGTAGAAAAAAGGTAACAGAACCTATTATGGAAGTTGAAAGTTGATTCTACAAGATAGAGAATCAATATTGTATTTCACGAGGAAAAAAACAAGACATGCTCAAACCACAAAAAAAAAACCCTACCCATCTTTCACAACACATTTTATTTATATTCGTTAACCATAGTATTAAAGGCTACAATTCCCAGGAACTTTAACTACAACATTAATGCAGCAAAATCACATAGGGTGTGGAGAGAAAAAATTGGATGGACAGATAGGTGAAAAAGAAGGGGTGTTGCGTTTGGGTTGGATTTAAGAGGGGTGGCTGTGATAGCATGTTTCCAACTGCATTACAAATCAGGTCATAACTTACAAGATCAACACATACTAATTGATATTGCTTTCTCCAAGCACTCATATGTACATTGAACCAACTGTCAATATGTTTCATCAATGTCCCCCACAAAGAATGTTTCATTAACATCACCTGCGAAAACCATAGTTTATGAATGATGCTATGAAACAATGATAGAGGTATAATCATTCTTACCATGGACAACTTTATAGTACACAGTTACATCTACATTTAAAATATCACCATCCTCTAAATTTCCTGCAATGATCAATACATATTCAATCCAATATCATCACATAGATTCAACATAAATTTACAAGTTAGCAGAAGGTATCCCACATGGCTTCATCATATACGTCACCATGGTTACACTGCTTTCGACCATTTGTAAAAACACTGATTGTTAGTGAGAGATGACAGAAAAATTTCAACACAAGATATGGCTAGAAAATAATCTCAAAATACATAATTTTAAATGAGGGATAACTAAGGAAAAACAGAACAAAAAATTAAAAAGAAGAAATTCATATAACTTTACCAACGCCTAATTAAGTAGAGGAAAGCTCCATGCTGTGATGGAGTTCACGTACACCATAATAAATTTCTCATTCATCCACTTCGGGACAAATAATATTCCATAGAAAATAAAATGTGAAAATTCTTTTGACCTCTCAGTAGCCCTTCAATCAATCTCAAATCCCCAAGTGCCCCATTAAAATTGAAACTAATATGCACAATGGAATCATATAAGTTCTTCAATAGACTAAAGTAGTATTTAGATTCAAGTAACACTAGCGAACTACACTTATAAATATTTGAACGGATGTAATTTTACCATTTTCATCCGTCAATAATTAGGAGTAAAAAAAAAGAAACTTTTAATTCTTTAGAAATACTTTGATATTAAAAACTTTTTATATTTATCCTATTTGAAAATACACATACATTCACACACAATAATACCACATAGACTAATATGTAAAAACACACACAAATACATCAAAACACTCATAGTAACTCAAAAATACACACACACACACACACTAATACACCAAATAAGTATACACAACTATACCAAAAAAGCACACATAGTTAGTGTGTGAAAAAAACACTATATAATACACCAAAACACACTTAACTAATTGTGAGTTCCGGAACAACACTGCTTCTACAGACCAAAAATTTACTAACTGAGCACCTACTCGCTTAGAGAAGTAAGGTGAAAGCCTCGTAGTAGTGTCCCCCACACAACAAATGTCATGCAAAAAGTGAAATATTCAAATATAACCACCACAAGCAAGATAGACTCAAACAAACAAAATCAAACACTCAACACACCACTCTATGAACAAACCACATGCAGATTTCTAGCCTCATTAGAGACCCTTTTGGTAACCCAAGCCATTCTATGAACCAACTACATCCAAATGTCTAGCCTCAACATCACAAAACTCTTTGAAAAGCTATGTTTCCTAATGTTTTCCAAAGTCAGCTAAAAGATAAGTACAGAACCATTAAGTGGAGAACAATTTCAAATACCAAAAAGTTGGTTCTAAGAATCTAAGAATTTCAATGCTGTAATCATATGTGGAAAGGATCCAACATCAATTGGCACATGTACTTCGTAATTTTGTCACCGATGAAGATGATAAAAAGCTTGCCAATAAAACTTGATTCAGCTGCACTCAAAATTGATGGAATGCATCTATTATTATTACTTCCCCAAATTGAAGATGGAGCCAGCTCCTTTATAAGAGGACAATGCAACCAATCTTAGGGGTACAACAAGAGAGTAAATCAGGGAGGTTAAGTGAGAGGTCTATTAGGAATTCAAACTAGCTACCTAATTGGAAATTGCAAGCAAAGATGCATTCATGCACCATCAAAAGAAGCCGAATTTGAAGAGAATGGTCATTTGAACTGAAGATAAGAGTAGACCATGACTGCAAATAAATATCTCCGAGGCATAGTAATCTTGTACGAAATCCAAAGTTCATATGCAAAAAAATAAATAAATTGCAATCAGCATTGAGGCAAAGCAAAATCGAGTAAGAAAGGGCCATGAAGTGGAAATGTAGTGTTACCAAAAGTGTGTTCAAACCGAGCACTGTGTTTCCCATCTGCAATAACAACAGTCAATCCATCAGGCCACATCCGATCACGCCCAACACCTATAATGGGAGTTCTTGACGATGCACAGAGTAAGTGACATGATGGTGTAACTTACAGGTTATTCAATTTATAAGCATTGTAAAATTACCAGCTTTTATCATAGGTTCAATGGTAAAGATCTGCTCGGCCTTCATAACACCAACTACTTTATTTCCTGCTTAGGTTGAAGAGATTGAAATTGTAATATCACAGAGATATGGAGTCAGTTCACTCTATACTTTGTGTTCCTCAATTTGTTCATAGGCAGATTTCTAATGCAAACAAATATTCAAATGGAAAAGCACCTTCTTTAAGTATACTTGCATCATGGGGAATGTTTGGTGCAAAATGGAATAGCTCTCCAATACCATGACCACAATCACCAGACTTTACCTACCTCCACAAGACAAGGAAAGAAAGAAGGGTTAATAACCTGCCATCTTCTCATTTGGTATAATAAGAGAAATAATGAATACCCAGGATTGCAGATTACCACAGAGAAATGGAAGCATGTCAACTAATGACTTCCCCAATTTCCCAAAAACATACCCTGGTTTAACATGAAAGGACAGTGCATGTATATCAGAATGAAAGAAGCCCAAGGCCTTAGTTTTGGAACATTGCAACACACAAGGACACTAGTTGAAAGTAAATTAATGAAATTATTCACAAATCTAAGAAACATGCAAATTTATATTAAAATGACAAGCTTTTATCATTCAAGAATCAGGAACACGATGAGGAATCTTTCCTAAAGGTTTGAGATACATATTCTCAACTACAAATATATGCTAAAATTGTCGAGGTTGATATGGTCTGTTTACACAGTCAACAAGTTCACTTCCACGATATAAATTTAAAATAACAAATTATGCTAATCAGATTCAAAAACTCAAAAGAGAAACAAGAAAGGACTTCTAATAAAAAAAATATGAATGACCACTTAAAAATAGGCCACATCTATGTCAACGAAACACAAGCACATCAGTTTTCGTTTGGACCAGTAGAAAAAACGTTGCCAGAACCTAATATGGAAGCTGAAAGTTGATTCTACAAGATAAAGAATCAATATTGTATTTCACAGGGAAAAAAATAAAAGACACTCAAACCACAAAAAAAAAACCTACCCATCCTACACAACACATTTTATTTATGTTCGTTAACCATAGTATTAAAGGCTACAATTCCCAGGAACTTTAACTCGGAACATTAATTCAGCAAAATCACATAGGGTGTAGATAGAAAAAATTGGATGGACAGATGGGTGAAAAAGGATGAGTGTTTCATTTGAGTTGGATTTAAGAGGGGTGGCTGTGATATCAACTGCATTACAGATCAAGTCATAACTTACAAGATCAACACTTACCAATTGACATTGCTTTCTCCAAGCACTCATAAGTACAGTGAACCGGCTGTTGATATGTTTCATCAATGTCCCCCACAAAGAATGTTCCATTAAGATCTCCTGCACAAGTGACACGTCAGCCAACTGTGAAAAACATAATATATGAATGATGCTGTGAAGCAATGGTAGAGGTATAATCGTTCTTACCATGGACAACTTTGTAGTACACAATTACATCCACATTTAAAATATCACCATCCTCTAATTTCCTGAAATGATTAATTACATATTCAATCCAATATCATCGCTCAGATTCAACGTAAATTTATAAGTTAGCAAAAGGTATCCCTGGTGACTGCAAAAGTATCCCTCATGGCTTCATCATATATGTCATATACATTACCATGGTTACACTGTTTTCAATCATCTGTAAAAACACTGATTGTTAATGAGAGATGACATAAGAATTTTAAAACAAGATATGGCTAGAAAATAGTCTCAAAATACATAAAGGGAGGTAAATGAGAGGTAACTAAGGAAAAACAGAACAAAAAATTAAAAAGAAGAAATTCATTTACCTTTACAAGCAGAAATTCATATACCTTTACCACACCTAATTAAGTAGAGGAAAGCTCCATGCTGCGGTGGAGTTCACGCACACCATAATAAATTTCTCATTCATCCACTTCGAGACAAATAATATTTCATAGAAAATAAAATGTGAAGATTCTTTTGACCTCTCAGTAGTTCCTCACTCACCCTCAAATCCCCGAGGGCCCCATTAAAATTGAAACTAATATGCACAATAGAATCATATAAGTTCATCAATAGATTAAAGTAGTATTCAGATTCAAGTAACACTAGTGAACTACACCCATAAATATTTGAACTGATGTAATTTTACCTCTTCAATCAGTCAATAAGTAGAAGTAAAAAAAAAAAAAGAAACTTTTAATTCTTTAAAAACACTTTTATGTTAAAAACTTCTAATATTTATCTTATTTGAAAATACACATACTAATACACACGCATTCACACACAATAATACCACACAGACTAATATGTAAAAACACACACAAAACATCAAAAATCCCACGCACACACTAAAATGTAAAACACACACTAATACATCAAAAACCCAAGTCACATACACACACGTATCAATACACCAAAAATGACACTTGCACACACACATTCACACACACTAATACACCAAATATACATATATATACTAATACACCACACACACACACACCATGTTAACTCACCAAAAAACACACATGCGCTAATACATAGAAACAGACGCGCACATATACACAAACGAATACACCAAAAACAAACACACATCTCCCTACACACCAAAACAAGCGTACTAATATATAAAAAAAAAAAATACACTCAACAAAATACACACACTAATGCACCGAACACAAACACCCACACTCTAATATGTAAACACACATAAAACACTAATATGCAAAAACACACACACACTAATAAACCAAAAACAACATACACACTAAAACAACAAACAAGTACACCCACTAGTATACCAAAAAGTACGCGCGCACACAAAACAAACACTAACACGCCAAAAAACAAACACAAGCTACTACACCAAAACAACAACTAATACATGAAAACAAACACAAGTGCACATATACCAAAAAAATGCAAGCATACCCCAATACACCAAAACACACATACTAATACACAAAAAATATGCACGTTAATACACTAAACAAAAAACACACACAATACACACTTTTATACACCAAAATACAAACAAAAACACATACACACATACATATAAATACACAACAAAAATGAACGCACACTAATACACAATAACCACACAAACTAGAAATAAACCAAAACACACGCACATACACCAAAACACTCATAGTAAGTCAACAAAATACACACACTAATGTACCAAATAAGTATACACAAATACACCAAAAAAGCACACATACTTAGTTATTGTGTGTGAAATAAAACATTATATAATACACCAAAGCACTCTAACTAATTGCGAGCTACGGAGCCAGACAAAAAATTTACAAACCAAGCACCTACTTGTTTTGAGAAATAAGATGGATACCTTGGGATGAAAGCCCCATAGTAGTGTACCCCACATAACAATTGTCATGCCAAAAGTGAAATATTCAACTATACCCACCACAAGCAAGTAGACTCAAACAAGCAAAATCAAACACTCGATGCACCACTCCATGAACAAACCACATGCAGATTTCTAGCCTCATTAGAGATCCCTATTGGCAACCCGAGCCATTCTATGAACCAACTACATGCAAATTTCTGACCTCAGCATAACAAAACTCTTTGAAAAGCTATGCTTCCAAATGTTTTCCAAAGTCAGCTAAAAGAGAAGTACAAAACCATTAAGTGGAGAACACTTTCAAATACCAGGACAGTTTCCCACATGTTAAACATGCATACTTCTATTTTGTGTGTGTGTGTGTGTTTATTCTGTCAGTGTGTTCTTTGCATGTGTATGAACTCCAAACATAACACTACTCTTGCAACTCGAGCACAACAAATTATACATTTGTTACTGGAGGTATGAGGGATTGGACACCATTCGTGACTCGTGAATCCCTAGTTCCAAATGGATAGACACCATTTATGAATTTAGCCAGGGGAACACATTAGGGGATAAAATATTTCAAAAAGGATCTCAAGACTCTTGAAATGCCTAATGATTGGCAAGTGAGCACAATAAATGCAACATTGATTGTGTTAAACGCATATGGTTTTGGTGTGTGTTCTTGGGGTTCACATAAATGCTAGAACACTTCACTTTCATTCCCAATATGCCAGAAAATTGGTTCTAAGAATCAAAGAATTTCGATGCAGTAATCATTTGTGCAAAGGATCCAACATCAATTGGCACATGTACTTCGTAATTTCGTCACCGATGAAGATGATAAATAACTTGCCACTAAAACTTGTTTCAGCAGCACTCAAAATTGACGAAATGCATCTATTATTATTACTTCCCCAAATTGAAGATGGAGCCAGCTCATTCAGAAGAGTACAATGCAACCAATCTCGGGTATAACAAGAGAGTAAATCAGTGAGGTTCATTGAGAGGACTATTAAGAATTAAAAACCAACTACCCAATTGGTAAAATTGCAAGCAAAGATGCATTCATGCACCATCAAAAGAAGCCGAATTTAAAGAGAATGGTCATTTGAAGTGAAGATAAGAGTAGAAGATGATTGCAAATAAATATTTCCGAGGCATAGTAATCTTGTACGAAATCAAAGTTCATATGCAAAAAAATAAAAAATTGCAATCAGCATTTGAGGCAAAACAAATTAGAGTAAGAAAGGGCCATGAAGTGTTACCAAAAGTGTGTTCAAACTGAGCAGTGTTTCCCATCAGCAGTAACAGCAATCCATCCATCAGGCCACATCCGATCATGCCAAACACTTATCATGGGAGTTCTTGAAGATGTACAGAGCAAGTGACATGATTGTGTAACTCACAGACTATTCAATTTACAAACATTGTAAAATTACCTGCATTTATCATTGGTTTCAATGTTAAAGATATCTGCTCGGTCTTCTTCATAACACCAACTGCTTTATTTCTGCTTAGGTTGAAGAGATTGAAATTGTAATATCACATAAATATGGAGTCATTTCACTCTATATTCTGTGTTCCTCAATTTGTTCATAGACAGATTTTTAATGCAAACAAATATTCAAATGGAAAAGGTTGCTTCTTTAAGGATACTTGCATAATGGGGAATGTTTGGTGCACAATGGAAAAGTTCTCCAATAAACATGACCACAATCATCAGACTCCCTATCTCCACAAGAAACGAAGGAAAGAAAGAAGGGTTTAAGAATCTGCCATCTTCTCAGTTGGTACAAAAGAATAAAAGAAATAACCAATACCCAGGATTGCAGATTATCACTGAGAAATGGAAGCATGTCAACTAATATAGATTAGGTCATAACCTACAAGATCAACACATAACCAATAGATATTGCTTTTCTCCAAGCACTCATAACACATTGAACCAGCTGTCGATATGTTTCATCAATGTCCCCCACAATGAATGTTTCATTAAGATCACCTGCACAAGTGACAAGTCAGCCAAACTGAAAAAAACATAGTAATATGAATGATGATGTGAAACAATGTAGAGGTATAATCATTCTTACCATGGACAACTTTATAGTATACGGTTACATCCACATTTAAAATATCACCAACCTCTAATTTCCTGAAATGATTATACATAATTCAATCCAATATCATCATTCAGATTCAACGTAAATTTATAAGTTAGAAGAAGATATCTCTGGTGGGACTGTGCAAAGGTATCACCTCATGAGCTTCATCATATATGTCACCATGGTTACATTGCTTTCAAAGCATCTGTAAAAACATTGATTGTTAGTGAGAGATGACATAAGAATTTCAACACAAGATATAGCTAGAAAATAGTCTC